TATGGGTCAAACAAACCCTGTTTGCTTTGGTATGATTATGCTGGTGTGGAAGCTGTCAGAACGCTGATGTAGATTAAACCAGACCAAGACTCAGCTCTTCCAGTCAGACTGGTTCATGTATGGTCTGTGCACACTGATGATGCAGAGAATGACAACCATCAAATTTGTGAATTACCTGTCAGTCCGTTTGACTCCTCTTGGGTCATTTGTAATAAAAACTGGAAATAAAGAACAACTAGCAAGGTTTTGGCTAGGCCTGCACAATATGAGGAAAATCTGTTATGTGCAAGCATTGTTCAATTTTGAGATGATGATGATATGACTTGTAATAACTAAACAAATATTAAAGTGTCCATATTAGCTATACAGCTTCTCTGTTTTTCTGCATTAATAAGTACACTGTTAGCATAGTTCACTGCTAACTTGCATATGACCTGGTGGAGTTGCCACCAAGCTGAAGATTCACCACTGTTGAAGCCTCTTTTTTTCTTGTAAAAGTAGACCACAGTGCTCGAAAATACTTCCAACAAAGTACAAATCTCAACTTTGCATAGCTTGTCCTAGTGTGTGCACCAAGCAGCAATTTGCTCAATATTGCCACCAGTTGGCAGGGAGAGACCCGCTTCATCTGGTCAGGTGACACTGAGAACCAGGCTACCAGTGACAGTATATGTTTGCAAGCGGAGTGTGAATGCACGGCGCATGTAAATACAAAGATTTTCCTCATTCATCACATTTCAGGCAGTCTTTTGCAATGTGTTTATGGTCCATGCTCCTATCGTGACAACAATGTACAGTTTATAAGTCAGCACTAGTCTTGACCAAGTGAGCTAAACTAAGTATGAAAGTACTTGTACTTACTGTGAAAATGATCTGAGCCGGGTAGTATTAGAATCAGATTTCTGAAATACAGGTTTCAGAGGTCAAAGGGTGACTGCTTGATCTGAGGCTACAGTTTGTTTCACAGTAAGTGGCCTTGACAAATCATTGTACTCTGTGACCTTGTCTTTTAACTTCAGTGAAAAACAACAACCAGGGCTTTTGGATGAAAAACAGTCACTCATTTCCTGAGGTTTTCTTTGAAAAGATATTGGGAACAACCCTGAGCCGTCAGGCAGTGTCACTCAGTTTGTGTTTAGTAGCCTAATAGCATTGATACCAGCACAAGATGTTATACTGTAAAACCGTCCAGATGAACATAGATAGCTACTCATACTGAAGTTTATTCTGGGTTAGCATAACAATGTTATTATACTAATGTACATTATTAATGGCTCTGACCTTTCTGAAATAGACCTTTTTCCCTGTCACTTTCCATTGTTGGACCTGCTTTGAGTAGGAAGGGTGGTGTTTGAAGGAAGCGAAGCAGAAGAAACAGACACTGAAACCTTTAGTGCAGTAAAGTGGGGGAGGCCAAGTGAATAGGAAAAGAGAGAAGTAAGAGCTGAGAATAATGGGAGTGAGTGAAAGGGAGGAGTTGAGGGGACACAGCCAGACATGGCTTGTTATGGTTTCCTCTTGAACATCTGCCAGAACCCTCTGTTGTGCCTTTTTACCAGTGATATGAAAAGCTATTGGCACCTCTCTTTTCCCCCGCATACCATAATTTTAAAGATGGAGCTTTAACACAATTTGCTTGTAAAACTAATTCTTAATTTGATTCTACCTCATACCTAACTTAAAAATAGACTAAAAATCATAATTTTAATGTGCTAGTGATAAAAAGTGAACAATATTTTCTCTTTTTTCAGTTTCTTTGCCATTGTTTACCTGTTCCACACCTTCCTTCCTCTCCAAATCTTTTCCTTGTCATCACTTGTCATAACCGAAATTTTGTGAATTTGTCAATAGAATTTTTCAAACTTCTTGAATAGTTACCTAATGCCATATTTGAGAGACCATTGTATGCATTAATTTTGTGTCTAAAATATGATGATATGGTAAGATACTGATGGAGGGAGCTCAGCTGAAAGGCATAGTGGGACATGAGCTGATGGTGTAGAGTATTTCATCTCATCTGAGAGTTCTTTGTGGTTGTGGCTGCAGCCCAGTAGAACAAGCACACACTGAGGAGAGCACATAATCTAGTTAT